TGTGTTTTATTTGTGCTGATAAATAAATAAAGGGAATCTCCCTTTATTTATTTATCAGCACAAATAAAACACACACACACACACATACACATACACACATATATATATATGAGTTGAGACTGTGATTCTAGTAATCACAGCAAAGTTAACTGTGATTACTTTAATCACAGTTTCTCGATCGATCTACATTACTGAGTTCAGTGTTTCTCCATTTTGGCAATTCTAAGATGTACAGACTAAAACTCCCAGAACTCCCTAGCCAGCATGCTGACTTCTGGGTTCTGGGAATTGAAGTCCACATTCTCTGATGGGTTGCCACAGTTGAGAAATATTGCGTTGACCCCATCAAAGACTGGGCACCGTACACTTATCTGAAACTCACCTGTCCAAAGCTGTCTGTGAACCCAGCTGTGTCGTCACCCAAAAAATTGGGCTACTAAAGAAATCTGCTGCTTTGAAGCAGAAACAGTAGATGAAAGTCTGTAGAGATTCTCAGTCATCCAGGTAATGGTTGTCCCAAAGGTTTTTTTTCAGGAGCCAACTGGACGTCTTGTTTTTTCTTTGAAGAAGTTTCACTTCTCATCCAAGAAGCTTCTTCAGCTCTCACAGGATAGTGGGGAATGGGAGGTTTTATATTCCTTGAAGACAGTTGGTCATTTGCATTCTTAATTTTAGAGGGTCGTTGAAGCACTTGGACTCTTGGAGGTTTATCTAGGTCCTGAATAGTATTACTTTTGGGACAACAGTAGATAAGTCCCCATATTTCTTACTAACAGCGGGAAAAACAGAAGGGGGGGGGGAAACCTCTGAATTGAAATGAGAAAAGCTCATTTGTCTCAGTAGGCAAGTACACAGCAGGGCGTGTTAAAAGAGATTTCGGATGTGTGAAAGCAAAGGGAAAGGGCGACTCAAAGGCGCACCTACGTTTCCGCCGCTCGGAAGAATCGCCTCGGAATACGCCAGACCGCCCGCCCGCTCTCCGCCCCAGTGTCAATGCTTGGTTTTTGGTCTCCTTAGGCCTCCGTAAGTGAAAGAGGAGAATAGTGTGGTGCCCCGCTGTCCTTCAACTTGGGCTCTAGGCGCTTTCTTACCATGTTGGGTCTCCGCGTGGGCTCCGTCCTTGGCCGCCTCTTCAGACGAGCAGCAGCGGCAGACCCTTTCCGCGCCCAGGTAAACCCCCTGGGAAACCCACCTGCCCCCTTTTCGCCGGCTGCGGATCATTAGGTGCATGTTCCTTGTGGTTATATGTTTCCATATGGGACCTGCTATTCCGGGCTGGGCAGGAGAGGAGGCTACTGGTGTGTGTGTGTGNTTATCCCGTGCCTCCGAATGATCTCGCCCAGCGGTTTCATGTAGATGTTAAATAGTAAGGGGGATAAGACCGAACCCTGCACTTCTTGTCATGCAAACTTATCTTTTTGGATTCCCTTTGTTATTCTAAATGTGTGGCCAATGAAATAAAAACATCACCATTGTATAGTTACCACCTACGTGTGAACGTAGCTGAAAGCATTTATTTGTAGATGGGCCAATTCTTCATATTATTCTTTTCAAGACAGGCAGCAACAGTTTTATCTAACATTTTAATAAGAGAACTTCATACAGATCCTATAATTAGTTTTATTTGTAGAAGCCAATCTATACAAAGTTAAATTCAGTTGCCCCTAAAAGATTTTTTTTTAAAGATTAATCGTTTCATATTAATATTTAATATAACCTGAAATTTCTGGAAAATCTGTATTTCTGTATACTAATTGTTGCAAGAGAAATTTTGCACAGTAATAATACAAAATGAGGAACAACTATAAGTTACAATTATAGTGTACTTTTATACTGGCCTTTACAGTTATTATTTGTTCAATGTATTATATAGCCACACATCTCATCTTATGGTAGGTGGCTTACAATAAAATAAATAAAATGCAAAATGGGGGTGGGGGGGGAGAGATAAATGCTGGAACAGTATCCCCACAACTTTCACAATGAGGAAGAACATAGCCTTTTCTTATGTTCACATAAGAAAGAAACCAGATATATTCTGTAATTAGACCACCACTTAGTTGATACTACTAAAAACAGAAGTAGTGAGTTTATTTCTGGATTCTCTTTGCTGAACAGACCTAAAAATAGCCCCCTATGATTTTTCCAGTTACAATTTGAGAAGCATATTTACATTATACATTTTAAAAGGCAGCAGCAAAGATGCAATCATTGTGCTACGTTTCTAAGCATTAGCAATCCCTCATTTCAGTTAAAACGTGATTAAAAACACAATGGATAGATATAAATATAATTAAATAATACTCTGATTTAAAATAATGGCAAAAGTTATAGTGACATATGGCATTCCATGCTTTATGATTGTGATTCAAATGAAATATTACAGTGAAGATTATGCTAACAAGTTAATTAACCAATTTCATGGCATAAAGGTATAATCCTTTATAAAATGTCCTAAATATATGTAGAAAAAATAAAGAGGCAATAGCAGTAGAACATGAGCAAATAGTTAAAAGTGTGATCCATTTAAGGATTTAGTATTAGGTATTTTGTCATATTTATACTAGCTAGCTGTCTCTTCCAAAATCCAGTGCCTAGATATCACTGGACTACAATTTCCATTATGCTTACTCAGCACGCTTATAGATAAGGGATTTTATAATGTAACTTCTGTGGAGACAGGATTGTCTTATCAGCTTTTTCCAGGCTAAAATAATCCCCAGTATGACAGCATTTAAAGAAGTCCAGGACTTACCAATCAAAACAGTGAAATACAGGCAGAAGAATATAGTTATGCAGTTTTTAATATTCATTGCTGAGGGTGACCAGATTAATTAAAAGTTTTATTTTTCAATATTGTTTTAATGTAGCTATTAGATATGCTTTCCTCAAGACAAAATACACAATGACCAAAGGAACAGAAATTAGTCCTATTATGTATTTTTGATTTTTTTTTAACCATTTCATTTCCCACTGGCTAAGCAACACTAGCAATTTGCCACTTTTGAAGAAACGGAACTGTTTAAGACTGAATTTTCTTGAGCCTTAGTTTACTCCTCACTGAATATAAAATTTAAAGCTGCTTAGTGAGCTTTCCTTCAGCTAGAGCTGAAGATAAATGTAAGCATCACTCACTCTTACATGTGGCCTGTTATGGGTCACCTTAGTATGTTCTATGAATCCAATATATATAAATTTATTTATTTATTTATTTATTTATTTATTTATTT